AGAAAACAAAAGCTAACTGCAAAAGCCAAAATCTATGGCCAGTTCTGTAAAAAATCCAACAAAAGTGTGCACTTAATATTACAGTTATCTTTGGAAAATGGGATTATGAGTGCTACTTACTTTTTTAAATTTTGTACACACTTTCCAGCTTACAGTTATCATGATTATCTGTGTAATTTTTAAAAGCCAGATTTTGTATACTACACTACCTGGATTCTAACTCATAACCGCTTCTGGGAGAAATAAACGGTTCCGTCAAGAGTTTATCTTGGACAGAGCTGGTCCGACCCGCTAAAACAAAGCAAAGACTTTCCCGCGATCAACGCGGCCCCGTAGACTTCTGGGAAATGTAGTCCCAAGTCGTATGGACCACCTCTCGGAGGACCCTGGGGCGGTGAGCAGCCCCTTCAACTGCGCATGTGTACTGCTGCGAGCGCGCCGGCGGCTTGGCTTCCCTTCCCCCACCTCCTGCCGCGAGTTGGGGCCAGGGCCTGGGTCTCCCGGCGACTTCATCATCCCGCGCCGTGACCCGACCTGGCCCCGCGCCACGAGTGGGAGCTGCGCCCCTCCAGGTAGGAGGGAGGCTGCCCGGCCGCTCCGCGGGGGGCCGGCGAGGAGATGCGGGAGGGGCTCGCGCCCGCGCGGGGTGGTCGCCCAAACTTCGGCGCCTCGCGGGCGGCGGTGACCCCCGGGGCGGCGTCCGTGGCCGCCCGGCCCTCAGCTCTGCGCGCGGCCCGCGGGGCGCGCCTGGCCGGCCGTGCCGGGGCGGGGACGGCGGCGGGGGAGGGCGGCGGCGCGGGCTCGCCTCCTCCCTTTGTCAGGAGAAGCGCCTCCGGCCGGCCGCCGGGGTCCCGGGCCGCGCGGGGAAGCCCGGAAGCGGGCGGCGGGCGCGGGGCGAGGCGGGGGCGGGGCCCGAGCACCTGGCGGCCCCGGGGCGGGGAGGGCGGAAAGCCCGGGCGGATGATTGGGCGCCCTGGCCCCTGCCTGAACCCTGCCAGGGACGAGTTCCCCTGATCCGCACACCTGCCCTGGGACTTGGGTCTAATCGCGTCAGTTTCTCCGGAAGGGGAAAGACAGGCTCGGGTGGGTCAGCTTGCCCGAGGTCCCACAGTCCAGGGGACTCAGGAATTCCCAGTGTTTTTCACTACTTGCCTTTTGACTTTGCCCCGGTGTGGTTTTTGTCATGTAGGCATTTTGAATTTCTCTGGAGTTGAGTTGCTGCTCCTCTCTTAGGGCACCCCAAAGCCTTCATTCACTACTTAGAGATTACACAATTATTTTTTAGATTTCGCAGTGGCATGGTTTAAAAATCTATTGATACTGTTATAGGACAGGGAGAGGGGCAGCCCAAACCCCGCAAACCTGCCTGTTTTAAATGGGTTCTGCCATCCGCCGCATCAACACAAAACATATGAGACTTTAATGGGAAGGAACTTTAATAAAACTAGGAAACAATACAGGTAAGGCAAAGAGTCTAGTTTCTAAATGAAGAAGCACCCAAAGTTACCTGTCCCCTCGTGGGTAAAAGTCCATCCATATGGGAATGGCGCAGAGCAAGGCCCCAAAGCCTGCCACAAGTCTAAAGCATCTTCCAGTGGGGACCCACAGAAAACGGTCAGAAACAACCAGACAAGCCCGGAAGGAAAAGAGCAAAATCAACATCAAGATAAAAGCTGCCATTGTCACCTCCCCATGGGTCTCACCCACATCTGTCTCACCCAGTCCACGACAAGCGCAGTTTCTTCACCTGTCTCTAGGCTCCATGGGCCTCCTCCAGGTCTCCTGACTCCATCCTGCTTCCTTCCTCAGTCTCTTCTGTAGCTTCTTCTCTCCCTGCTCAGCTCCACCCTCCCTTGGGTGGGGCAGGGGACCTGGAACTTCCCCCTTTCCTGGGGACCACCCTGTTACAATCCCCCCTTTTAATTTTTATTCCACCATATCTATGGTGGCACAATTTAATCCCACTAATGGTTAAATTTAATTAGGGGGAATCGACACCTTTATAATACAGGGTCTTACTATAGGCTAACCCATTGCTCCTCTTTTGTTTTGCTTCCCCCCCAAACACTTTGATAATGTTATTCAGTTATTCTGAGTCCTTTCTGTCTGCTTGGTCAGTCACTGAGAAAATAGTGTAGAAATTTCCGACTACAGTCATGGATTTATCAGTTATTTTCTTTCAGTTTGATTAATTTTTGCTTCTTGTATTTTGATGTTCTTTTATTAGATAAATATTCATTTAGGATTGTTAGGTCTTCTTGGTGGTTTGATACATTTGGTATTATGTAATATCTCTCTTTATCCCTAATATGCCTTCTACAGTTGACTTTGAGAGTAATGTAATCACTCCAGTTTTCGTTTGATCAGTGTTTGCAAAAGTACTTTTTTTTTAATCCCTTTAACTTTTGGTCTAGCTGTTTTTATATTTAAAGAAACATTTGTAGATAGCACATATTTTTGTTTTTTATCCAATTTAATGACCTGTGTTATATCAGTGTTAGTGTTTCTATACCAGTTACTGACATGATTGCATTAAATTCTACCATAATGCTATTTTTTTTTTCTTATTTCCTTCTGGTCTTTGTTCCTGTTTTACTCTTTTTCCACTATTTTGGATCTAGTTGGTACTTTTTATTTATTTTTTCTTTAGTTTTACTCCACTATTGGCTTATTATTTATATCTTTTTTAAAAAAATATTTATTTATTTATACAAGCACTGGGTACAGTCAGAAACGCGGGAGGGTGAGAGAATTCACCAGAGCCAGAGTGGGGAGCAGAGCAGGCAGAAGGACCGAAATACACTGCTGAGGGTAGCAGCGGGCGGCAGGAGAGGTCTGCACGCCATGTGGGACCCTCCTCCTGTGGCCAGGGAACAGCCGGGGATCGAACTGGCACTGCAGAGGCTGCGGGCAGCTTCACAACCCAGCGCTCAACCGCTGCGCCACCGGGGAAGCCCTTATTATTTATATCTTAATTTTTTTATGGTTGTCATAGGGTTAATAAACATCTCACATTAATCACATTGACCTTTAAATAATAATATACTGCTTTATGTGTAATGCAACATCCTTACAACTATTTACTCCCAATTTCGTAATCTGTTGTTACTGCTATTATTGTTACATATTTTACATATGTATAACCTACAAAATTTTGGTACTATTTTTGTTTTAGACAGTTATTTTTTAGAGCTACTGGAAAAAATGCTGCATGTTTATCTTCATCTTAACCATTCCCAGAGATCTTTATTTGTTTGCATCTAGTTTCTGTCTGCTATTATATTCCTTTACTTGAATAACTTCTTTAAATGTTTTTTTGTAGTACAGGTTGTCTGGTAATAAATTTTGAAAGGTTTTTATGTTACTTTTATTTTTGAAAGATACATTAGCTAAGTATGGAATTCTGAGTTGGGGTGTGTGAGTGTGTGTATGTGTGTGTGTGGAACACTTTAAAGGTGTCACTGATTTGTCTTATGCCTGTGTAGGTTTTTTTTTAAGATTTATTTTTATTTAATTAATTTATTTATACAAGCTCTGGGTACAGTCAGAAGCGCGGGAGGGTGAGAGAATTCACCAGAGCCAGAGCGGGGAGCAGAGCAGGCAGAAGGACCGAAGTACACTGCTGAGGGGAGCAGCAGGCGGCAGGAGAGGTCTGCGCACCATGTGGGACCCTCCTCCAGTGGCCGGGGAGCAGCCAGGGGAGCAGCCGGGGATCAAAACGGCGCCGTAGGGGCTGCGGGCAGCTTCGCAACCCAGCGCTCAACTGCTGCGCCACCGGGGATGCCCTGCCTGTGTAGTTTCTGATGAGAAATTTGTGATTGTTTTCCTGTGGTTTCTTTGTATATGTCAGTTTTTCCTCTGTTTTTATGACTTTCTCTTTAACTTTGGTTTTGAGTGATTTGAATAATACGTTCACAAGTTTTTTTTTTTAAGATTTATTTATTTATGCATACAGGAACTGGGGGTTTAGGCCAGAGATGCAGGGGGTGAGAGGATTCACGAGAGACAGAGTGGGGAGCAGAACAGGCAGATCTACCTAAAAACACTACTATGGGGAGCAGCGAGTGAGACAGGAGAGGTCTGCTGCACCGTCTGAGTCAGCTCCCTGGCCAGGAATCAAACTCAGGCTGCAGTGGCTGGTGATACCTTGATAACGCTGAGACTTAACTCCTGTGCCACCAGGGAAGCCCTATTCAGTCCTTTCTTTTAAAGTTTTTTCCTTTTCTTTTTATGTTTCAGTTTGGGTTATTTCTTTGGACCTATCTTCAGATTTACTGACAGTTTCCTCAGCTCTTTTGAGTCTACTAATGAGTCTGTGGAAGGTATATTTTCATCTTTCTTCTTGTGCTTTTCTTTTCTTTTTTAAAAGATTTATTTTAGTTATGCATACAAGATCTGGGTTGTAGGCCACAGGTGCAGGGAGGTAAGAAGACTCACTAGAGACAGTGGGGAGCAGAACAGGTGGATTGACTGAAATACACTGCTGAGGGGAGCTGTGGGTGAGACAGGAGAGTTTTGCTGCACCCTGTGGGTTAGCTCCCTGGCTGGGGATTGAGTTCATGTTGCAGTGGCTGCTGATAGCTTCATAGTGCTGAGATTTAACCCCTTGCGCCATCAGGGAGGCCCTCTTCTTGTGCTTTTCTTATTTAACATTTTCATTTGATTTTTTCCTTGTAGTTTTCATCTTTTCTAAAAGTTCTATCTGTTCGTTTGTGTTCATTTTTTATATTGAAGTCTTTAATATGTGACCATAGTTGTTTTAAATTCTGCCTGATAATTTCATGAGGTGAGAGTTCATTGTCTCTTGATACTGGCTTGTGTTACTCTTCCTTTTTTGGGTGTCGCATAATGTTTCATTGTAGGTGAGCAAGATCCTTTTCTGCTTCTGAAAAGACAAAGGGAATACCTCAGATATTTAGGAATTACTAAACAATCATTCTAGAAGTTCTCAGGTAGGTCTAATCTTTAATAACAATACCTTCCTTTTTCCTCTATTCCAGTTCTGCCTTCATAGTTCTCTGCCTTTACCCAAAAACGCAGAAAATGAACAAATCCCAGGTGAGTTGTTTGTTTATTCCCAATTTTGCTTTCAGTGCGTTTGAGGAAGTTTATAAACATCCAGAAAATGAAATAACAAAAGTATGTTGAGTAAAACCCAAGGAAAACACATGACTGATCAATACCAGCAACCAAATACTAAACCAGGTTAATTAAGTGTCTTGCCTTGATTATGAATATCATTTCCTTGGTTTTCTCCTCTCATGAATAAATTTTATTTTGAATAGCATTTCCAGCTACAGCACAAATTAAAAGGGATATATTTGTGGTCATTTCATATAGCATTTTTCAGTGCAAGTGTAGGGTATTATTATGTGTATTTTAATTTTCCAACCAGATTAGTATTATGCCATAGAACTCATTAAGTACGTGGTAGTTAAATTCTTTCCTTAGTCCCCACAGTTGTGATTACTTTCATTAGTAATCAACCAGATTTTATTTATACATATTTATAAAAAGAGAAATGTAGGCTATTATAAATGGCTTATTGTGCTGTCTTGTTTATATGTGTTTTGTTTTTTGATTTATAGCATATTTTAGGGCAGTTTTGGATTTATTAAAATTTAGTGGAAAGACAGTTCTGATACCCATCACTCTCCCTACATAGACCTCACAGTTTCCCTTAGTAACACTTTCTATTAGTTTGGTATACTTGCTACAATTGCTGACTTTAAAGTCCACAGTTTAAATTCTGCTCTTAGTATTATACATTCTATGGGTTTTGAAAGATTTTAGATGACATATATCCACTATTACAGAATGCCTTACCTTAAAATCTCTGGTATTTGACCAATTAATCCCTTCCTCCCCTCCTCTTCCTGAGCTGGTAACCACTGCCCTTTTTACTTTTTCCATACTTGTGCCATTTCCAGAATATTCTATAAATGAAATCATGCAGATTGGTTTTTCAGATTCGTTTCTTTCACTTAGTGATATGCATTTAAGGCTCTTCCATATCTTTTCATGGGTTGGTAGCACATTTGTTTTTAGTCCTAAATAATGATCTGTTATGTGGCTGTACTACTGCTCTTTTATACAGTCACCTACTGAAGGGCATCTTGTTTGTTTGCAAGTTTTGGTAGTTAGGAATAAAACAGCTATAAATCTCTATGTGTAGGTTTTTTGTGTGGACGTAGTTTTTATCTCTTTTGGGTGAATATTTAGTTTTTTAGAAACTGTCAAGTTATATTTTAAAGTTGATGTATTCTACAGTTTTGTATCTTGCCCCTTCCCTCCCCAGCAATGAATGAGAGATTTTATTGTTCTGCTTCTTTGTCAGCATTTAGTGCTCTTGGTGTTGTAGGTTTTGGCCATCCTAATAGTTACGTAGTAGAATCACATTGTTACTTAAAATTCCTTAACCTAATAACATGATGTTGAACCTCTTCATTTTTTTTAAAAAGATTTATTTATGCACACAAGAACTGGGGTGTAGGGCCTCCCTGGTGGCGCAGTGGTTGAGCGCTGGGTTGCGAAGCTGCCCGAGGCCTCTGCAGCGCGGATTCGATCCCCTGCTGCTCCCTGGCCACTGGAGGAGGGTCCCACATGGCGCGCAGACCTCTCCTGCCGCCCGCTGCTCCCCTCAGCAGTGTACTTCGGTCCTTCTGCCTGCTCTGCTCCCCGCTCTGGCTCTGGTGAATTTCTCACCCTCCCGCGCTTCTGACTGTACCCAGTGCTTGTATAAACAAAACAAACAAACAAACAAACAAATAAATAAAACATGCCTCTAAATAAAAAATTAAAAAAAAAACTGGGGTGTAGGCCTGAGTTGGGGGTGGAGGTGAGAGGATTCACCAGAGACAGAATGGGGAGCATCTTCTCATTATTTATTTGCCACCTGTATGTCTTCTTTGGTGAGATGTCTATTAAGGTCTTTGACCCACTTCTTAAGTATGTTTGTGGTTCTTTTGCTGAATTTTTAAGCAAGTTCTTTATATATTTTGGATACCATAGTATTATCAGGTATGTGTTTTGCAAAGATTTCCTTATCCATCTGTGGAAAAGGTAGTCTTTAGTTCTGTGATTTGTCTTTTTTTCTGATTATGTGTGTTTAATCACTTAATAACATCATTTCTTTGAAATTTTTCTATATCACAGAATATTTTTCTCATTTTTTTCCTGATTTTTTTTTATTGTGTAATATACAGAATAGTATGTAAAGTATTATAATGCTCTTTATGGTGTAACAGTTTGTCTTTCAAATGTGTATACATTATAGAATAACAAAATGAGTGCCTATTTATGCACCCAGGTAAAGTAATACAACAATGTCTGTTCTTTATGATACATTCTCTGATTGAATCTTTTTTAGTAGTAGCCATTATCTTGACATTTTTTTGATATCATTCTCTTGCTTTTCTTAAAGATTTTACCACTTGTGTGTCCTTAATGTAAAGTTCAGTTTTGAAAAACTGTGATTGGAATTAATGTTGCTTTGTTTTGTATAATTTTTAAAAAAAGATTTATTTATGCATACAGGAGCTGGGGTACAGGCCAGAGATGCGGGGGGCGAGAGGATTCACCAGAGACAGAGTGGGGAACAGAACAGGCAGACTGACTGAAATACACTGCTGAGGGGAGCAGCAGGCGAGACAGGAGAGGTCTGCTTCTCCATGTGGGTTTCTCTCTGGCTGGCCGGGCATCGAACTCATGCTGCAGAGGCTGTGGATTGCTTCATAGTGGGGTGCTTAACCCCTTGCACCACCAGGGAAGCCCTGTCATTGTCTTTTCAAGTTACCTTAGCCAGTATTAAGGAGAATACAACCACTCATTCGTTGCTGATGGTAGTATAAACTGATTTGGACTTAATGGGAAGTAAGCACAAATATGTCTCTAGAAATTTTTCCATTACTGGAAAAGAGTTCGTAGGAGAGCAGGGACTGAATAGAGTTTTTTGATCACAATATGTTTTCAGCTTTTCTGAGAATTTACAAGAACTTCATTTGAAGAAATCATTGGCAAGGTCATAAAGAACACAGGAAAACAGGGCTCAGGATAGTTGTACCATTTGGCAGGGTCAATGTGTGGATCAAGTATTGAAACTTTACCAAGAATATAATTAGAGCAAGTGGGCTGCTCTGTATTTTCTGCTTCTTAGCTCAGTGGTCAATTGCCAACTCTCAGGAGTAGATGAGAGCAGAACATTTCTGTGAGTTGAGTTTTCTCATTTGATCCAAGACAGCCTGGTGCGGAGGGCAGAGGTAGATGTCATCAGCATATATTCCACACCAGCCAAGTACAGATAAGGATCTGGGCCAGCCTCACTGTGTTGTTTGTTCCTCAGGGTAGAAAGGTGGTGCCGTGACAGTAGGCATCTTGTTGATGCTTGCTTTTGAGACACAGGGTGTGAGTCTCTACTGACAAGCAATTTGATGTCAGTAGAGAATCACTGCCAGGCTGCAGTCTTCTTCAAGGTCCTCCTCAAGGTTTTTTTTCATATCTTGAGTTGATCTTTTGCTAGTCTCTTGTCATGTCTTTATCCTTTTGGGTACTGTTGTTTTATTGGACTACATTTTTCAGTAGCTTCTTGAGAAAGGGTCCATGAGAGATACATTTTTGTAGACTTTTATATTTCTGGAAATGTCTTCGTTCTGTTACGATATTTGATTGATAGTTAGGTATGAATGTGAATTTGTTCCTTTAGTTCTGCCTGGTTTTGCTTATGTAATTTGAAGCTGTGTTATTTTGTACATTCATTTATTGATTGAATGCACATTTGTGATTCCTCTGTTCTTCCTGATAGATTTACCCTTACAGTATTTGGGGATAAGCAGTCATCTCTGTTTATACTCCTTGTCTGATACAAATATAGCCATACCTACTTTTTATGGTGAGCGTTTTTATGGTGTATCTTTTTCCATTCTTTTTCAGCCTATTTGTGTATGTTTATATCGTATTTCCTCTAGGTTGCATATAATTGCATAATGGTTTTTATCCAGCCTGACATTGTCTGTGTTTTAACTGATTTATCATTTTACTTTTATTTAACCTAGTTATAGATACAGTTGACTTGCTATTTTTTTTTTTTATCTGTGCTATCTGTGTAGGGGTTAGTTTATATAGTTTACTGATCACTTTGAATATTATATACCACCTTGGTACAATCCAAAAACTCTGTGTGGGTATGAGTGTGTGAGTGTGAGTGTGTGTGTGTGTGTATGGTGAATTCTTGCAGGTTTTACCAGTATGTTTCTTTATTTTGACTTCATTTTGAAAAATATTTTCAGTGGGTATAGAATTTTTAGTGGGTATAGCGTTTTTACATTTAGTATTTTAAAGATGACATTCCACTTCTGTCTTGCTTCTGTGATTTCTCTTAAGAAATAGGTCTTCATTTTCTGAAGAGAACAGTATCTTTTACTTCTGGCTATTTTTAAGCTGTTGTCTATTTCTCTGGCATTGAGCAGTTTGCTCATGCTATCTCTAGGTATACAGTGTGTTTTTATCAAGTTTGGAAAATTTTTAGCAGTTTTTTCTCAAATATTGTTTCTGTCTCCTTCTCTTTTCTCCTTGTTTCAGGACTACATACTGTACTTTTTTGTTTCTTTCAACATCTTAAGCAGTAGTGTAATAGACCTTGTAAGCAGACTTAACATCTTTTTTATATTTTGTTTTTCCTTTTTTGGTCTCTGTGCTGCAGTATGTGCTTCTGTCTTACAGGTCATAATTCTTGTCTTCTACTGTGTCCAGTCTGCTATTAAGTCCATACAGTGAGTTTTAAATTTCATTTACTACATTTTGTACTTCTAGACTGTTTACTTTTTGTAGATTCCAGTTCTTTGTTGAAATAGTCCCATGTTTTAATCCACATTGTCTATCCTTTTCTCTGTTTTTACTTATTTGCATCTTTGCCAACTTTAATATATTGTTATATCCATCTGCTTTTCACTGACTCAGTTTTTTCCCCCATTTTTTTGCCCCCCTCCCTTTTGTATGTCTAGTAAATTAGTTTGCTGGATATGTTGCAAGATATGTATTGATAGCTCCCTTTGTTCTTCCAAATACTTAAATTATTGGCAGATCACTTGGAACCTGCTAGGGCTTGTTTTTAGGATTTTAGGCTGGTTTATTTATTTATTTATATTTATTTATTTATTTATGGGTATAAGAGCTGGGGACAGGCAGGAGGTAGGCGGGGGGGGGTGAGAAAATTCACCAGGGACAGAGTGGGAGCGAAACAAGTGGCTTGGCTGAAATACACTGCTGAGGGGAGCAGCGGGTGAGACAGGAGAGGTCTGCTGCACCATGTGGGTCACCTCCCTGGCTGGGGGTCAAACTCATGCTGCAATAGTTGCCTATAGCATCATAGTGCTGATGCTTAACCCCTTGTGCCACCAGGGGTTCTCCTGGTCTATTTATTTAATCATAGTTCTTCTAGGGCATTGGTCCCTGCTTCTAATGGAGGGTTTCTTGGCGGCTCAACTGTTCACCATGGCCTCAGCTCTTGCTGGGACCAAATTGTAACATCTTCACAGCCCCGAGTACCCTCCAAGTTTTGTTAGAATCTCTTGCCTATTGCTATTCTCTGCTAGTTCTGAAGGCCTCTCTACTTACCTATCAGGAGCCAGCCAAAGATCTGAAGTAAATTTATATGCAAAGTTTTGCAGGCTCTTTTCTGTCATTTTCTAATCTCTGGTATCCTGCCCCCAAATCCCATTTGCTTTGCAGACCCAAATGCAAATTTTTGTTTATTCCCTGTGGCAACGTTGTCATTTGTTTCTATTTCTCTGTGCCATAGTTTAAAAAATATGGGATATTTTAGGGATATAGGGACATTTTGGGGACATTTTAGGGACATTTTTGTTGGCTATAGAATTCAAAATTGGTATATTTTCTTTCAGCTTTCATCATCAGTGTGAATATGGGACTGCTCACCTCATGTATGCCCTTCTTTCAATAACTATAACCCCGCAATGATTCTCCAATGCTGCCAAATTGTTGTTTTCTTCTTTGAGTTTTTGTAGTGCTTTGAAGTGCTGTAGCCATGAAGTCCAGAAGCCTCTGTACTTAGGTGTTCTCTCTGTTCTCTCCTGAATCTTGTAAGCTTTTCTCTTTGTACCCTGTGTTGTAAATTTTTCAGATTTTTTTTTCCTTTTTGCCTACTGTTTTTTTTCTTAGCTTTTTTTTTTTTTGACTTGGTGAAGTTTGCAAGTACACAGAAATACAAATTAAATGTAAGGAAGGTTGAACTATGTGAAATTGGCATTTTTGTATAGTAAAACAGTTGATTGCCAGCAGTTTCAGTATAATTTAATCTTATAACTGTGAACCTATTATGCCACTCAGTAGTCAATGCTTAACTTTTTGGCTTACTTGGTTCCAAATTATATTTATTGAAATTTTTCTTTTTTTTTTATACTGCACAGTTCATATCAGAATTCTGTCTTTAAATCTTTTATGAATCTGTCCTCACTAGTTTGCTATTGCACTGCATTTTAGGGTGCCTCATTAAATGCTAAAATCCTCTGGACCTTAACTATCTTCACCATAGAGGTAGCCAATATTACTAGTTTTGTATGGGTGTATTCCAGTCCTCATTTTTAGTACTTTGTATGTATTAAAAGAATGTTGGGGTTGTGGTATATATTTTGAGAATGATACAAATTTTTTCTAAGATTTATTTTTATTTATGCATACAAGAACTGGGGTGTAGGCCAGAGGTGAGGGGGTGAGAGGATTCACCAGAGTCAGAGTGTTGAGCAGAACAGGCAGACTGACTGAAATACACTGCTGAGGGGAGCAGTGGGTGAGACAGGAGAGGTCTGCTGCACCATATGGGTAGCTCCCTGGCGGGAGATGGAACTCATGCCTTAGTGGCTGGCGATAGCTTGATAGTGCTGAGACTTTAGCCCCTGTGTCACCAGGAAGGCCCTTATTTTGGGAATTATATTTTAACTATTGTTGTGCCTATTGCAGCTTTCCTCTGCCTTTCATTTTTAGGATTTGTGTTTTTAAGTTTGCCTACTGGGTTTTAAAAGTATTTCACATTATTGAATTGTCTGTTATATAAATGTCCAATATTTGTTTTGATCTGACTGCTTTACTACACAGTTCTCTCAGACTCCCATCATTTTGTTGAAAATGGCTACATTTAGTCTTTTCTTATGGCTAATAGTCCATAGACCGATATACCACATCTCCTTAATCCAGTCACATAGTGATGGATATTTAGACAGTTTTCATGTTTTAGGTAAATAATGCTGCTGTGAACATTATGGAACGGGGTTTTTTGTGTTGATGGTTTCATATTCTTTGCATAGCTGCCCAAGAATGGGATTGGTGGGTTTTACAATATTTCCATTGTTAGTTTTTTTAAGGTAAATAAAGATTGCTTTCCATAATGGCTGCACCACTTTATATCCCCACCAGCGGCGTAATAGGGTTTCTCTTTCTCTGCTTCTTCTCTAGCACTTTTGAGGTCTTTTTTAAAATGTACCATTCTCACAAGCGTGAGGTGGTATTTCATTGTGGTTTTAACTTACATCTTTCTTATTGAGAGCAGTAATGCACATTTTGTCATATCTGTTGGCCTTCTGGAAATTCTTTTTGGTGAATTGTTCATATCTGTTGTCCTTTTATTAATTGGATTTTTTAAATTGTTGGATTGTATGAGTTTTATACACACACACATATCTTGGATATTCATTCCTTATCAGTTATGTGTTGTGTGACTACTTTCCCCTATTCAGTAGGGTGTCTTTTTTAATCTTTTATTTTCTTTTGCTTTATAAGCCTTTTAACTTGAGAAAATTCGAAATACTTATTTTTGATTTCAGTTCCCTTGAGGTCATGGACTCTCTTGTCAGTGTTTTCTTCTCTATATTTTACCATTAAAGGTTTATATCTAATCTTAATCTGTTTGGAGTTTATTTTTGTGTATAGTGGTAGCAAGTAATTCTTCATTCTTTTCAGCATTCTCAGTGCCATTAAGTAAGTAGAGTGTCCTTTCCCCAGTGTGTGGTCACAGCAGTTTCATCAGAGACAAGTTGCTGATACTTACATGCGTTTATTTCCGGGCTTTCAGTTGTGTGCCATTGACCCGGGATTTGCTTTTGTGTCAACACTACATTGCTTTTAGTACTGCTGCTTTATAGTAAAGTTTGAAATCAGATAATGTGATACCTCTTTTCTCCTTTTCTCTCCTTTTTTCTCAGGGTTGCTTTTGAAATTTGAGGTCATTTTGTGGTTCCATGTCTGTTGTATTTAGTATCTTTGAAAAATATTGCTGGTATTTTGATGGGAATTGCATTAAATTTGCATGTCATTTTAGGTAGGGTTTTGATTTCGATTGATTCTTCCCATCCATGGGTATGATATATCCTTCCATTTTCTTTTGTCATGTCTAAGTCCTTTGTAGGTTAATTCCAGGGATTTAACTTTTTTTTTTTTTTGGTAGCAATTATAAGTGCTATTCTTTTCTTTATTTTGTATGTTTTTTGTATATAAAAAGGCCATGGCGTGCAGATGCCCCTCCTATCTCAGGCTCTCTCAGCAGCATGTTTTTTAGTAAATCTCCCTTTTCTTTTAAAGATTTATTTATTTATGCATACCAGAGCTAGAGTGAAGGCCAGAGCTATGGGGGTGGGGGCAAGAGGATTCACCAGAGACAGAGTGGGGAACAGAACAGGAAGATTGACTAAAGGACACTGCTGAGGCGGGCAGTGGGCGAGATAGGAGAGGTTTGCTGTGCCATTTCGTTGCTCCCTGGCCAGCTGGGGATCGAACTCGTGCTGCAGAGGCTGTGGACAGCTTCATAGGTTGCATCTTAACCCCTTGTGCCACTAGGGATGCCCCAGCAGTATATTTTGTTGACTTATTTTCCTTTTTGTATCCAACTGATTTTTGCTTGTTTTATTTTTTTCCTTTTTTGGAGTACATCCTTGGTACCTTTTGTAGTAGTGATATCTATCACTTAAAATAATAGCAATCACATGATAATTACTTAGTAGTCCTTGTCTTTTTAGATCACAGATGGTTAAACTATGATGCATAGGCCAAATGGCCTGATGGTTTTTGTAAAAACTTTTTACTATGGGTCTTACATTTTTATATGGTTGGGGAAAAAAAATCAAGATACTATGTCAAGTGAAATTTATATGAAACTCAAATTTTAGTGTCTATAAATCAACTTTTATTGGAATATAGCCATACCCACTTGTTTATATACTCCCTGTTACACCTTTTGTGGCACAATGGCAGAATTAATTGTGGTAGAGACTACATGTCTGCAATATATGAAATATTTCCTGTTTGGCTCTTTGAGAAAAGGTTTGCCAGCTTATAACCTAGTATTTTCAGCACTTTGAATGCTATTTTCTGGCTTCTATTGTTTCTGTTCGAAAGTCAGCTATCTTTTTTTTTTTGTTGTTGTGATATTGATGTGACAAAGCGTTTCTTACTCTGGGAATTTTCGTGGTTTTATCATCATGTGCCAAATTTTGGTTTGCTTTATATTTATCATGTGTGGTGTTACTGGTGTTTCTTGAAAATATAGTATGAGCTGTTTTGAAAAGTTCTCAGCCATAATTTCTACAAACACTTTCTGTTGCATTTTCCCTTTTCTGCTAGGACTCCAGTTGCAGGTATATTAGGATCAAACTTTATAGTCTATCTTTTGGTTTACTAGTCATCTCTTCGCCTGTGTCTGTATCTTGTGAAATCCAATTACATCCTCTTTATGGCGAGGCCTTTACTTGTCTTACATTGGAAAGTTCATCCTCTTATGTTTATTAGTCTTGGTGAACAAAGATGTACAGCTGGCATCGTGTAAATTTTCATGATGAAACAAATTTTCATGTATCGTTTCTGTATAATCAAATGTTGGTCATTTCACAGGGATCGGTTTCAATCACGGATGTGACTGTGGATTTCACCCAGGAGGAATGGGAGCAACTCGACCCCTCTCAGAGGATCCTATATATGGATGTGATGCTGGAGAATTATAGTAACTTACTATCAATTGGTAAGTCTCGCTTATTAGAACTTCAGAGTCTGTACTACCTTTGTTTTCAGGATTCCTGAAATCTGAGCAGTTAGAAAAGATACATCTGTTTGTATCTTCTTCGGCACTATCAAACCTGACCTAATTTTTCATGTTAGAGAAATGAAAAGAATTGTGGATAGCAGTTAGAAATTGCCAGTTCAGGACTTTCTAAGGAAAATAAGCAGAATCGGAATCTAGTGTAAGTAATATAGGAATTATGAATGATTGGTTCCCTCTGAAATAGTTTTCAGAGACCTGAATCTCTATCACATGTCTCCCTGATTTACTTTTCTTAGTATTTTTATAAATTTTTGCCTGGTATTATCAGGGTGCAAAGGAAATCATCCCAAAACCTCTGGATTTTTCTAGGCTTGCAAATAAACATCAGACTGATAAAAGCTCAGAGATGTTTAATAACATGTATATCTTCATACATGGGAGACACCCTGTAATTCACTTCCACAGCTTTAGATGCTATCTTAAATAGCTTAGGTAGGGCAAGGGAGGTTGGGGGGAAGAGAGAAGTCGGGGTGTTTATTGGAGGAAAATGAAATACTTCTGCTTTTTTCACTGAAGAGAGAAGGTTCTTCTGGAAAAGACCCATAAAGAGAAGTTTAGATATAAACATCAAAAGTAACTTCCCCCCAGTCTCCAGAGCGCTCCCATGAAATAAACCTTTTGTGCAAAACAGGTTTTGGGGTAGCAGATGTTTGTACCCTTAAACCTTCAACATCTTAAACCTTTGTATTGTGTGTAATTGCTCTTTCACATGGACTCTGATTTGTAAAGCTAATTTGCTAGAATGATAACTTTGCTGTTTTTGCTCATGGGAATTGATATAATGGCCTCAAGGAAGATGTTTTTGAATATAAAAGAGTGACTTTCTTGTCCTGGATACAAATGGCAGCAGGATTGCAAGAGTCGGAAATAACCAGTAATATATAATGAGAGTAAAATTTATTCAAGTCCCAGGTTATGGCTGGGTTATTTAATCCTTAAAATCTCTTCAATAAATGCAGAAGACTGGTTTGTGGAAGAAATTAAAACATTAGATGGGAAAAAATCAGGTAAGATAGCAAAAATTTTCCAATTTTAGTAGGAAAAAAACAACTGAAATTAGTAACAGCAAGTAGTAATTTTGTTGTAAGGATCTTGACTTCATATTTCCTACAGAATGAGTTTATAGATAGTGCCATCATTTACAAAAGTGTTGCTTAGAGATTTGGAGCTCTTCAGTCTTGCGTCTGCAAAGCTGTGAGGAATGTTGCCTCTAGAAAGTAAGTTGGTATAGATTAGCAGAGGAGGAGAGTATGGGACAAGATCTGCAGGCATGTAGGTGAAATGCCAGTCAATGTTTTAATAGCTAAACTCCATTCTACTTAGGTATTTTCCCATGACATCATCTTCTAACCGATTTTCTTGGTCTCTCTGTCCACTGTTCGGTGTCCTGAGGGCACGGTGCATCTCTACTATCTCATCTGTACTATCTCTTCCATATTCATGCCTCGTTCAGTACCATTTGTTTTAATTTCATTTTACTCACTTTTAAGGTCATTTTGTAACTTAACTACTTGTGTCCATTGTCAGTTTCCGCTTCATTTATGGCCACAGGCTTTTTGTCCTTTCAAAGGTTATGAGCTGGGAAAAATTTTGTATCGGGGACCTTAGATGGAGCCATTCTTGTACTATTAAAAGACCCTTCATTGGAACGTTCGTGGAGACTTCACATTCCATAACATTACAGTGTTAGGGCTGACAAAGTATTTCATGTGCTCTTCCCTAGACGTGTGGAAGGCTGATGACCAGATGGAGGGAGACCACAAAAACCCAGATGAGCCTGCGAGGCAGTTTATAATCTTCAAGAACCAGATGCCAATTGAGGAAAGAGATACTCTTTCTGAACAAACATTTAACCTAAGTACAGACTTTGTTTCTTTAAGGCAAGTACCCTATAAATATGATTTATATGAAAAGTCTTTGAAATATAATTCAGACTTACTTGATAATAATAGAAGCTATCTAAGAAAGCCAGCTGACGAGTGTAATGGATTTGGAAAAGCACTCCTTTATCTGAAGCAAGAAAAAATCCATACTGGAGTGGAATACTCTGAATATAATAAGAGTGGAAAAGCCTTCAGCCATAAAGAAGCCATTTTTAAACATCAGAAAATTAGAAATTTGGTGCAGCCTTTTATTTGTAATTACTGTGACAAGGCTTTCTCCTTCAAGTCTCTCCTCATTAGTCATAAGAGAATACACACTGGAGAAAAACCTTATGAATGTAATGTGTGTAAGAAAACCTTCTCCCATAAGGCAAACCTCATTAAACACCAGCGAATTCATACTGGGGAGAAGCCCTTTGAATGTCTTGAATGTGGAAAAGCTTTTACCCACCAGTCGAACCTCATTGTCCACCAGAGAGCACACATGGAGAAGAAGCCCTATGGGTGCAGTGACTGTGGCAAGACATTTGCGCAGAAGTTTGAACTTACTACACACCAGAGAATTCACACGGGAGAGCGACCCTATGAGTGTAATGAATGTGCGAAAACCTTCTTCAAAAAATCAAACCTCATTATACATCAGAAAATTCACACAGGGGAGAAACGCTATGAGTGCAGTGAATGTGGAAAATCCTTTATCCAGAACTCACAACTCATCATACACATGAGAACTCATACCGGAGAGAAACCTTATGAATGCACTGAATGCGGTAAAACATTCAGCCAGAGGTCAACTCTCAGGTTACATTTGCGAATCCACACGGGAGAGAAGCCCTACGAGTGTTCTGAATGTGGGAAGGCCTTTAGCAGGAAGTCCCGTCTCAGTGTCCACCAAAGGGTTCATATGGTGGACAAGCCCTGAGCCTGCAACCAGGTTGTACTGTGGAAATCCTTCGAGTGGGGAGAAACCTCATGAAGGTACTGAAGTTGGGGGTTCATACTGAGATACGGTCTGTCAATTCAAAAGTAATGAAAGTCGAATCTTCTAGAGATATACAAAAGGTTAGATGGGACACCTGAGTAAAGAATATTTACCGGAATATATCTGATTGTAAGCAGACACACAGAGCTCTCACAATCAGCTTTTTAAAATCTCAAGTATTCAGGAATGAAATATTTTGGGCAGTAGCATAGAGTGTGGACAGGTGGTACCCTAGGAAATGAGTGGTTCTGTGATGAAATGCCACAAGACAGATTATATATTTTAGATTTGCACGTGTGAATGTAACACGGTCACTGGGAGTTTGAAATGCTTGTTCTTTTGTTCTCTGTGGTGATTAGGACACATTAAACAGGATTTTCATAAAACACGTTACCATGTTTTTCTGGCACCTTTGCAAATGAAATTTATAATTGTGTATTACAAATGAAATAGGTGACAGATTTTTAAAGTAGCATGGAGCATATATTTTTCCCCTAATGCTTGCTGGCGTATATGTAAGTAGGTATGGCCATTGTTAGTGAACTGCCTTTTCAATAAATAGAAGACAGTGGTGAAGTTTTAACTGGTTCCTGGGCTTACTGAAGATTTTTCTAGAGACATTCACGTAAATGTGCAAGTTTGAAGTAATTGTGAGGGGGTTTTGAGTGAAAGGAGGCAGGTGGGGTTGTATACCCGAGTCTGTACTGCAGGACAAAGCCAGGCTGCATGAAGAGCATTCGTCTGTCCTGTTCTCATTTGTCAGGGGCTGTTTGTATACCCACGCGTGTCCTTTCCCAAAGTACTGTGCATATTGTGTGTGTTTCTTTGAATATTTTATAAATTGTCTTGCAAAAAGTAGGATGCATATGTAGTTCCCAATTGTTACCTTTCAGAGACCTTAAAGGAATAATAATTTATTTTCAGAAACTGTTAGTAAATGTCTAATTGCTTTTTTAAAACATCCATGTTTGTAGCTTACTTTAGAAATGAATTTTTTGCAGTTTTTTTTTTAAAGGAGACACATTTGCTTTCTAGAGCTTCACTAGCACCAGTCAAAGCATTACTCTTTGAAACATCACTTGCGCTATAACTTTTCCTTTAAAAATTCACAAACATTTTGACACTTTTTAGTGATTCTCTCCATATAGTGTTTGTAGATTAACTTACGAAACAATTTTTTTACATAAAGATATGCAGTTTTAAGTGTTATCAAATCCTCAGTTTCCGCCTTTCCGTAATCATACATTAAAATTATGAATGGCAACCATAACTGGCTTATTTTCCTTTGTTAATCTTTAAGATCATTGATGTACTATGACTGTATAGGATGATGAGTCTCTCACAACTGGGAAACTATGACTAAGGTAAAAAAAAAAAAACCAAAAAACAAAAACCAAAAGAGCGTCAGTGAAAAAGACTTGTTTATCAATGCATATTGTGTTTTTTTTGGCAGGAACCAAAAAAAAAAAAAAAGTGAGACAGAGAATGACCATCAAAAGGGACTGATTGAAAACATACCTTGAAGGATAGTATCCATGGAATCTCTGTAGCAGCAAACTCCTCCAGGTCAGAGGGGAAACAGTATATGGAGGCGGGGAGGGAGAAAAAGACAGGAGTGAGGGAACAGGAAAGAGAAAGAAGAGAGCAAAGACATAGGCGTGAGAAGGAACAGACAGAGGAGACACGGCGTGGAGAGAGGAGAGGACAGTGAAAGCTACGAGGAGACAGGAGAGCAGAGAGAGGAGGAGAGAGAGGAAACAGTGAGTGATGCAGACAGGAGGTCTAAAGAGAAGGGAAAGCATGGACACAGGAGACTAAGGGACACAGAGACGTTAAAGTTACACAGAGAGAGGGGGAGACGGGAGCAGGAGAAATGAGGGAGATGAGAGGAAGAGAGGGAGAGGGAAATACAGTGAGACAAGAGAGGGACGGTGAGGGGAGAAAAAAAATAGGGAAAGAAATAAGAGGAAAGAAGAGGTAGGAGAGGACTAGCGATAGACAGGAGACAGGCTCGAAGGGGTGAGAGCAAGGCAGAGGATGGAGCTAGGGGAGGAGAGCTAGGAGATAAGGCAGAGAGAAATATAGGAGACCTAGGAGAGAGATGGGTGAGATAGGAGAGATCAGGAGAGAGATGGGAGGAGAGGTGGGAGGAGAGATGGGGGGGTGATACGGAGAATCGGGAGAGACACAGTAGGAGAGATAGGGAGATCAGGGGAGAGAGAGAGAGACACAGAGAGAGAGGAGAGATCAGAGATCGGGAGGGAGATAGGAAAAATAGGAGGAGAGCTAGGAAAGAGATAGTGGGTGAGATGGGAGAGAGGGGAGGAGTGGTAGGAGGAGAGAGAGGTGAGATAGGAGGAGTGAGAGAATGAGTGATGTGGAGCCAGATAGGGGGAGAGAGAGGGAGAGCGATAGGAGATCAGGAGAGAGATAAGGAGAGAGGACGAGTGATGGGAGCAAGATAGGGAGAGGGAAAGGGAGAGAGGTAGGAGGTTTTAAGGGGGGAGATAGGAGGAGAGAGATGGGGAGAGAAAGGGACAGATCAGGAGAGAGAGAGGGAGGAGAGAGGGGGAAAGATAGGTGAGATGGGGGAGGGAGAGAGTTATGGGGTGGGATAGGAGAAATGGCAGGAGAGAGACACGAGATAGGGAGAGAGAAATGGAGAGAAAGGTAGGGAGAGTGATAGGGCGAGAGAGGAGGAGAGAGAGGAGGAGAGATAGGGAAAGAGATCGCAGAGAGATAAGGGGAGGGCTCGGAGGAGAGAGAGGAGATAGGGAGAGATACAGCCGAGAGACAGCAGGGGAGAGATTGGTAGAGAGATGGGGGAGAGATGAGGGGAGAGCTAGGAGGAGAGAGAGATAGGGAGGGATGGGAGAGAGATTGGGAGAGAGAGAGAGGAGGTGAGATACGGAGATAGGGAGAAATGGGATAGAAATAAGGATGAGAAGGTGAGATAGGGAGAGAGACCTTAGAGATAGGAACAGAGGGGAGATGGGGAGAGAGATGAGGTGAGAGAGGGAGTGATCAAGGGAATGATCAGGAGAGATAGGGAGAGGGATAGGAGAGAGAGGGAGAGATACAAGAAAAGATCAGGAGAGAGAGAGAAGGTGAGATAGGGAGAGTGATAGAACAGAGAGGACGAGTGATAGGGAGGAGATAGGGAGAGGTCATGAGAGAGGTAAGGGGAGGGATGGGGGAGAGATAGATGGGGAGAGATCAGGAGAGATGGGGAGAGAGATACGGAGAGGGATAGGAGGAGAAATGGGAGAGAGAGATGAGAGATGGGGAGAGATAGGAAGGGAGATACGGAGAGAGTTGGAGAGAGCAGGAGAGATCGGGAGAGAGAGAGGAGGAGAGAGGGGATGAGTGAGAGGGAGAGAGATCGGGAGAGGGTGGGGGAGAGATAAGGGGAACAATAGGAGGAGAGGAGACACAGGGAGAGAGAGGGAGAGGGAGAGATCATGAGAGAGGAGAGAAGGGGGGAGAAAGGGAACGATCAGGAGAGAGATAGGGCAGAGATAGGGCGAGAGATGGGAAGGGAGAGGGAGGAGAGAGGGGGAAGATAGGTGAGATGGGGGAGGGAGAGAGACTGGAAGTGGAAGAGATATAGGAGGGGAGAGATGGAGAGAGAGAGAGCACGCGCGAAGGGGGAGAGATGGGGCAATCGGGAGAGAGTTAGGAGAGATAGGGAGACAGAGTTGGAGAGATAGCAGGAGAGAGGATGAGTGATAGGGAGAGATCATGGGGGGGAGAGAGAGGGAGAGAGATGGAGGAGAGATAAAGTGAGAGACAGGAGGGGAGGAGAGATAGTTGGAGAGATAGGAGGAGATGGGAGAGAGAGGGGGAGAGATACGGAGAGGGATAAGAGGAGAAATAGCAGGAGAGAGATTTGGAGAGATAGGGAGACAGATACGCGGAGATTGGAGATCAGATCGGGAGAGATAGCAGAGAGATAAGGGGACCCATGGGGGAGAGATAGGAGGAGAGATTGGTAGGGAGAGATAGGGAGTGAGAGAGGAACAGAGATACAGAGAGATAGAAGGAGAGAGATGGGGGATAGATAAAGCTGAGAGATAAGGGGAGAGACAGGAGGAGAGGAGATGTAGGGAGACAGATGAGGGAGAGACAGTTGAGGAGATAGGAAGAGAGCTACGAGGAGACATAGGGAGAGGAGATAGCAGAGAGACGGGGAGCAATAAGGGGACCCATAGGAAGAGAGAGAGAGGGAGAGAAATAGGAGAGGAGGAGAGAGAGGACAGTGATAGGGAGGCAATAGGGAGAGATTATGAGAGAGATGGGGGAGAGATGGAGAGATCAGGAGAGAAATGAAGGAGATCGGAATAGAGTTAGGAGGAGAGATAGGGAGACAGATGGGGGAGAGAGAGGGAGAGATCAGGGGAGAAATAGGGAGACAGAGATAGCAGGAGAACCGGAGGAGAGATATCAGGCGAGAGATCATGAGAGGGGAGGAGAGAGAAGGGGGGAGAGAGAGAGATGGCGAGAGAGAGGAGTTGAGATATGTAGAGATCAGGGGAGAGACAGGAGTTGGGACATGGAGAGAGATTGGAGAGAGATAGTAGGAAAGATAGGAGAGATCGAGAGATAGGAGGTGAGAGATGTAAATAGAGATAGGGAAGGAGATAAGGAAGACAGGAGAGAGATAGGAGAGGTGGGGACAGAGATACGGAGAGATGGTAGGAGAGATAGGGAGAGATACAGGAGGTGAGATAGATAGTAGGAGTTGGGAAGAGAGGTAGGAGGAGAGAGGATAGTGAGATTGGGAGTGACAGGGAGGCGAGATCGGAAGAGAGAGAGGCAGAGAGATAGGGGTGAGAGAGGACAAGTGAGAGAGGGAGGATATAGAGAGATGGGGAGAAGGCTAGAGAGAGATTAGGAGAGAGAGGAGGTGAGATAGGGAGAGAGGGATAGAGAGAGATAGGGATAGGAGGAGACATTGCAGGAGAGATAGGGGAGAGATTTGCAGAGATAGTTAGACACATAGGGAGAGAGATATGGAGAGAGATGGGGGAGATTGGGAGAGAGACAATAGGAGAAGAGATAGGAGGAGATGGGGGAGAGAGAGATAGGGAGCAAGAGGAAGAGAGATACAGAGAGAGATAGGGAGAGATACGAGGAGACATAGGGAGCGATATAGCTGAGAGATAGGAGAAGAGGAGACATAGGGAGAGAGATAGTGAGATAGGGAGAGAGAGGATGAGGGATAGGGAGAGTGATAGGGAGAGATCATGAGAGAGGAAGAGGAGATGGAGGGTGTGAAATAGAGTGGTAGGAGGTTTTAAGGGGGAAGAGAGAGGGAGGAGAGATAGGGGACATGGAGGAGAGGGAGAGAGACAGGTGGAGAGATGGGGGGGCGATCAGGAGAGAGTTGAAGAGATAGGGAGAGAGAAGGAGAGAGAGGACGAGTGATAGGGAGAGTGATAAGGAGATGGGGAGAGATAAAGGGAGAGCTAGAGTAGAACAGAGAGAGAGCAGGGAGATAGGAAGAGAGGTGGGAGGTGATTTAGGGAGAGAGGGATAGGAGGAGAAATAGCAGGAGAGATCAGGAGAGAGAGGATGAATGGTAGGGGAGCAAGATAGGGAGAGATCAGGAGAGAGAGTGGAGGAGAGATAGGGGGAGAGACAGGGAGAGATAGGTCGGAGAGAGATAGGGAAAGATCAGGATGGGGGGATGTTTGGGGGAGAGAGGAGGAGAGATAGGGAGAGGGATGCGGGAGATGGGGAGAAATAGGAGCAGTTCAGGAGAGAGATACTAGGAGAGAGAGGGAGATATGGAGAGGGATAGGAGGAGAAGTAGCAGGAGAGAGATACAAGAGATAGGGGGAGAGAGAAGGGGAAGGAGGACGAGTGATAGGGACAGAGATCGGGAGGAGAAATGGGGAGAGATATAGCTGAGAGATAGGAGGAGTGATGTAGAGATCAGGGGAGAGACAGGAGAAGAGATAGGGAGAGACTGAAGAGAGATAGTAGGAAAGATGGAGATAGTGAGCGATAGGGAGAGATACAGGAGGAGAGGGAGAGCTGGGGAGAGAGGATAGTGAGAGATCAGGAGAGAGAGGGGAAGAGAGGCAAAGAGGGAGAATGATAGCGGGAGAGATAAGGGGAGAGATTAGAGAGAGAGGAGGAGAGAGAGGACAAGTGATAGGGATCGTGACAGGGAGAAGATATGGAGAGATCATGAGAGAGACGGGGAGAGATCGGGAGAGAGATTTGCAGAGATAGAGAGATATAGTTGGAGAGATGGATCCGAGAGATAGCAGGAGAGAGATTGGTAGAGAGGAGATGTAGGGAGAGAGATGGGGGAGAGAGGAAGAGATATACGAGGAGAGATAGGGAGCGATAAGGGGACCCACCCATAGGAGGAGAGATAGAGAGATAGGGAGTGATATAGCTGAGAGATAGCAGGAGAGAGATAGGAGG